GGCACAATGACCTGCGGGGTCAGTTTGTCCTCTGTCGCTGATATGCTGCCATCCATGGCATCATGTAGATCGGTGACTCGTAGGCTCTTGAAGTAGCCTGAGGCGAAATAGCACCTGATTGGGAGTACTTGATCCCTGTGCTATACGGAACACATGAGTTGGAGATTTACGAACAGACGACGTGCACATACTTCTGCAGTGGTAGAAGGCTATAGTCAGTAGGCGTGGCAAGGTTAGTTAATACAGATCTGGACAAAATACACATGCTTATATCACAGCAGGTCATGCTTATTTCATGACCATTACGGTACTTTGGCAGAGGTTGGTTCCAGGAGGAAGTGCTGACAATATCGCCGCATTGTGGCATGCGATGAGCAGAAAAGATGGCGTGTTTTGCAAAACGATATATCAGAAAGAGTAAAACTGTGCAGAAAGCCCTTTGGACACTTGCCAATACTGCTTCTCTTTAAGTGAAGAATTTTGACTAGAATGTACTAGATTTGCCTCGTGAAATGCGTTTATTGCCTAAACTTGCCTAAGCTGATTCAAAGAAACTTTTATGTGATCAAAACACTTCGCACATGCAGGAAAATTCCATTCCAAAGTTTTTTTTTCTGCTCAGTGCCGCTGAGGAGAGAAAGCTTCATTTTGGAGGCCTTCGCAAGTTTTCGAGTCGCCAGAAAATTAAGGCAGAGCTGCGCCTTTTTTCGCCTTCCGCTCATTTTCGAAAGTAAATCATAATAAAAAAATATGTTCTGAATGCATGTAATAGCCAACCTGCAAGCTGCGGCAAAGACATACAAGAAAACCTTTCAAAGAAATTCTAGAACAGCACCGTCACAATGTTGCGTTTATACTTCGGTTCCAAATTCCTGTGGATAAGAACACACAGCGGCTTCCTAAGGAAGAACGGTATTTTTCGAATTTTATAGCCGGTGTCACGCCTGAGAAATTCTTTCTACGAAGCTGAAATGAACTTTGTTTGAATTATTTTGATTTTGACAATCAAAAAGGATTAATCACACACCGCGCTAATTCTTCCCTCTGTTCCTCCTACTCTAGTATTTTGTGATCGCTGAACTTATAGCAAGTTTAGTATGAAATGCGCATAGATGGAGCGGAATCTGAGCATTGAAAACATGGCAGAGTTTACGAAATTGTCCAAGGGTGAATTTGATGTCACCTTTAGAGTGTTTGAAAACATAAGCGGGAGGCCACTGAAGCTCAAAAGTGCATTGCATTATTGCTATCAAAACTAAACAGCATTATTTGACACTTTCTAGGCAGCGTTCCATGAAAAATCTATGTTCACAGATCAACACTCAGTCCATAAAGAAGGCTTAGGACATCCGCGTTGGTTAGGTTCTCTAATGTGGCCTCTGAATGAAAAAAATGGATCTGGAACTTGCGAAAGTGCTGTCAAACCACGCCCACCCTGGCACCACTCACCCTATCAAAAATCGTCTGCGTCTTCAGGATGTGGCTCGCATAAATCGAGCTTTTGTGGCGTTTGCACATTTTGCACTCCATATCTGTAATCAGGGCCACGGAAGGGCCCCAGAATGACAAAGGATGCGCCTTCAAGTTTATAAAGATGAAGAGCATGAGAAACAGCAGTGTCACCAAAAACAATGTTGTCTTTAGGTATGTAATTCCATTCTCGCTGGGTCCTATCGGAGGTCAGTATTCTATTAATGCTGTTCAAATTACCGACAGTGCCTACGTTGTTCTCAACGTGAGAATAATTGCTAGGTAAGAACATGTACCTGTTTAAAATATAATAAGTATATATGTGACGATAGTTTGAAAGTACCAATATCTCAACACTGGACATGCTAAATTATGAGTTTTTGCTGGCATTGGTCCTAAACATTTCTTTCGCGAGAGGGCGCCACGAAAAAATTTTATGGTTGAAGAGGCGATTAACCACGCCTCAACAATTTTGGGATTACTTCGAGGTTTTGAGAGCCTATAGCCTTGAGCCTCCTTTGGAAAAGGAAGCATGGCCGGCCCACCCAAGAAAAATTTTCTCGAAGCTATTTTGAGTTTAGTCATTTTGAAAATTACGAGTAAACACGAGATAATTCCGCAGTATTCTAACGCTTGTAGGTAACTTTCAAAAATTTCGCAGCCCATTCTCACGGGTCGCACCTTGCACAACAGGATTGGCTTTTACAAAGCACGAACTTTATTCCAAGCTTTTGATCTGCTCTCTGAACTAATATACTTGTTCACGACTGATGAAAGTGTTAGAAGTAGATTGACAAAAAAATTAGTAGGTGTTGATTACAAAGCATTATCTAAAGATTCAGAGTGTCGTCATCTATATGGGACGCAATTGGACAGGCGGATTTTGTTCGCTGCGTGCATTCTGTTGGACGCCCTCGTCCAGTCATGGCGAGCGTCAAAGAGACTGTAAGTT